TTGTTCCTCGTTGAACGTTACAATTGTTTCTTGATTGCCACCCATTGTTTGTTGATTGCCAATTGTAAGGTTGGAGTGGTTCTTCTTGTTGGTTGTCATTGTCATTATTAGCCTCCCCAATGAGATGCATTGTAACCTCTTGAACCTCATAAAGGATTGGACTGGAACATCTTGGACAATTGTTGAGCTCAAAAGAATGTGAAACTGCATGACTACACCCTAAGCACCAATAATAATAACAATGAAGGTGCTGATTATCCATTCTTATTAATTAATAACTAGCTAATTAGATTCACATGTGTGTGTTTCAACTAGAAAAAGAAAAGAAAATAAAAAAAATCCAAAGTACTCGTACTAAAAGGAGAAATTTTTTTGGAAGAAGTTTACAAGATGCAGATTGAGGAAAAAAAACACTTCATATTCTATCTCATTTATAGGCATATCATATATAATTAATTAATGTACAAACTCAAGATTTCAACAAAGCATATTCCCGTATCTTTTATGAGTCCTCTTCATTTACAAGTATGCTTTGTTTGTTGACCAAGGTACATTCTTTTTTTGTCTCGAATTATTTCTCCAATTTGATTTTTTGTTCATTTTATCTGAATAAACTTTGTTTGTTAAATAATTAAATAAAAATTGCATCATGTATTAATACAATAAAATAAATGAATAACTCACAAAAAGTTTGAGGCAGAATCTATATTACCTTCAATAAGCTCAATCACCATGTTAGAACACTAATTGATGAAGATATGTTATTCACTTTTCAGAGGGTAATTTGCAATTGTTGAATTTACCGACTTTCATATTTGCAGAACGTCTTTCTTTGTCTTTTGTATTGTTTGGGCTTTGTTGTAGATTCTGGCCTTATATTTGTGGGCATAATTTTTTGGTTGTATTCCCCTCTTTCTTTCTTTTTTACCAAGGGCTTGTTCTTTAGAGCTTGAACTATTAACTTTATTTTCTTCCCGTTCATTCAGTTCTTTCTAGTTTCTTCTAGTTTTTCAAGTTTCTTCCAGTTTCTTCTAGTTTCTTCCAGTTTTTTCTAGTTTTTTCCAGTTTCTTCTAATTTCTTCCAACTATATTTATTTTCTTCAAGTTCTTTCTACTTTCTGACAAATCACTCTAAAAATATATTATTATTATTATTACAACTTTTTTTTAATTACAACTTTTATGTTCATAACTATAGTTTATAAATTATTTTATTTTTTCATCTCACTATTTTTATGATTCACAATCATTATTATTTTTTCTTCAACTTTTTAATATGAATAATACCGTTTTTTATATATTATTCTACATGAAAAATTAGGAAACTATTTAAAAAATTATGGATAAATAGTTATATAGAATATTTTTTAATCTAAATTTATAAAAGGTAAACATCAATATTTTAATCTAAAATATAAAGTATGGAATGTGGTGGGGAGTACTACATTATGAAAACCAAAGGAAAACTACATTTTGAAAAAGAAAAAATGACCCAAGAAGTGTAATATATATGCTAATTTTATATTCTAATTATTTTTTTAAACTAGCTTTTTATATATGAGAAATAATACTCGTAATATTTTTTGTCTTAAAGACAATCATTAAGATAACGTGATAACACCACCACCACCACCAACAACAATAACAAGAAAAATAATAATAATAATTTATAACAACAAGAATCAGAATGAGAATAATATAAAACCACAAGTAAAAAAATTTTTAAACTTTTTTTTAGATTTTTCGGTTTTTTCTAGTTTTTTCAGTTTCTTTTAATTTTTTTTCAGTTTTTCCAGTTTCTTCCATTTTCTTCCAGTTTCTTCCAATTTCTTCCAGTTTCTTCCAACATCCAGCTCTTTTTTTCAGTCCTACAGAACAGGTCCTAAATGTGTTTGTAATGATTGGTCTTTAAAGCCTGTTCTTTATGGCTTGAACTCTTAACTTTCAGTTACTTCCAGTTCTTTCTAGTTTTTCCAATTTTTTACAGTTCTTCATGTTCTTTCCAGTTGCTTCCAGTTCTTCCTGTTCCTTCCAGTTTCTTATAGTTTTTCATATTCCTTCCAGTTTTTTCCTGTTCTTTCTAGTTCTTTACAGTTTCTTCCAACTATTTTTATTTTCTTCAAACTCTTTTTACTTCCCGGCCAATTATTCTAAAAATGATATATTATTATTATTATTACTATTATTACACCTAATATGTTCGTAACTATAGTTTATAAATTATTTCATTTTTTCATCTCACTATTTTTATGATACACAGTGATTATTAGTTTTTCTCCAAATTTTTAATATGAATAATAGCATTTTTTATATTAATTTACAAGATAAAATAGGAAAACTTCAATATTTAAACTATTTAAAAAAACTATGGATAAAATAGTTACATAAAAATTTTTCTAAATCTAAATTTATACGGAGTATAAGAAAAAAAATCAATATTTCAATCTAAAATATATTAATGCAATGGGGTGGGGAGTACTACATAATTAAAACCAAGAGAGAACTACATCTTGAAAAAGAAAAAAACAACCCAAAAGTGTAAAAAAAATTCAGATAAGTTAAGATTAACTGCATTGTAGAATAATAACTATTATTTCATCCCTAAACTGCTTCATTGCATCTTTAGTTTGTTTATCAAACAACATCGACTTAGGCCTATCTTCCGTTGTTCGCTGCCTCGGTAGAAGTAAAACATAAAAAAATGTAAAAAAAAGTTTTATGCCTTAATTTCAAATGTAGGGTTATAATGAAAAAAATCAATCATTAAAGAAAAATAGGTTTGATTACATTATGTGTCATGTCTGATATTTAAAACCAAATCTTGTAATATATAAAGTATAATTACAAATATTTATGCTAATTATATTTTAAATATTTAAAATAACTTTTAAATATTTAACATTTTGATATTTATTCTAATTATATATTCTAATTAACTTTTTTTGCAAAAGTATTTTTTGTGTGTGAAAAATAACAATATTGTTTTATCTTAAAAGCATTTATTAAGATAACGTGATGACAATAACAAAAACAAAAACAACAACAACAACAACAATAATAATAATTTATAGCAACAAGAATTAGAGTGAGAATAATATAAAAATACACACACACAAAATTTAAGTCTCTTAAATTTTCTAATTTTTTCTAATTTTTTCTAGTTCCTTCTAGTTTCTCCTAGTTTCTTCCAAATTCTTCCAGTTTATTCTAACATCCAACTCTTGTTTTCCAATCCTAGAGAACATGCTCTATATAGAATTTATAGTAACAATGTGACACACATTAATCAATATGTTGGCCCATTATTAGTGACATTGCACATATACCCCCTTTACACATAGGGAGGGGCGGCTACACACAAGACTAACCATAGAAACTCTAATACAAAGAGATCTCACGTGAAGCCGGTATAAACCCCAACTAATATAAACAAGAACTGGTATAAACTCAACCCGATATAAAACCGAATCGATATCTATCCGAAACTGATATCTAACCAAACCGAAACTAAAAAAAATCAAACTGCACTAAACCTAAAATCGAACTGAACTGAACCGACTTGAACCAATAATAAAACATACATGAAAGAGACATGATTCGAAAAAATTCAAACCAGAAGCGAACCGATTGACAGGTATAAATAAAACTAGCTTAATGTGGTTAAACCTCCACATAAGAGTTCCTGTTCTTTAGCAATGAAAAAAAGAGCTGGATGTTTGAAGAAACTATAAGAAATTGAAACAAACTAGAACGGCCTGAAAGAAACATGAAGAAATTGGAAAAAATTAAAAAAATCTGAAAAAACAAAAAAAATGAAAATCTAAAAAAACTTTTAAATTTTTTTAGGTGTGTTTTTATATTACTCTTATTATAATTCTTGTTGTTATAAATTATTATTATTATTATTATTATTATTATTATTATTATTATTATTATTATTATTATTATTATCGTTGTTTTTGTTGTTGTTGTTGGTGGTGGCGTTGATGTCATCACGTTATCTTAATAAATTCCTTAAAGATAAAAAAATATATTTTAATTTTTCATACAAAAAAAATACTTTTAAAAAAAATAATTAGAATATAAAATTAGCATAAATATCAAAATGTTAAATACTTAAAAGTTATTATGGCTATGAAGTATATATTACTAGATTTTGTTTTAAATATCAGACATGTCACATAATGTACGCAAGTGATTCCAAAGTCATAAGCAGATCTGCACTAACTACTTAACTAACACTCGATATTATATATGATTGTATTTCAAATTTGTTCACTACGATTACTATTTCTATACTCAATGAAAGAGTATTTCAAATTATATTAATGAAGTTACTTGGTATATTGGGCCAAAGTGTAGTTAGTACGGAGTAATATAAATAGCCTAATATACTTAATTATTCAGATAAGTTAGCATGACATAAAGGCCCATGCTCGAGAAAAGAACCATGGGCCTATAATAGGGCGAGCCCATCCGGGCCTGAGATTTAATGGCCTTTGCCGAGCACGAGTAGGATCGGGATCAACTTAATGGGATGAACCCGATACCACTAGAAGTAGTTACTTAGGGACTTATTTGACTATAAGTATCCTAAGAAAAACCAAATATTAGGAAGCTTGGATGTTTATAAACACCCCCAAAAGGGTAACGAATAAAGATAGCTCTTTTCTTCCAAGAGATTCAATATTCTTGTATTTTATTCAATATTTCACCCACTTTTATCTTGATATTTTTGAGACTTATAATCATTGGAGTTAAACTCCATCGGTTACAATATATGGGATCAAGGGTCATCTCGTGGATCAATCTCAGTATACCTTAGAGTGTTCCAAACGACCACAATTTTTTAAAGAAAACTAAGAGTTGGCGCAATAGCTTTCCTTGGAATGTCTTCAATGTCATAACCATATCCCTCATTCTAAAAAACCACAATGCAGTCCTCGACCGCGTTCTAACGCTCCTCTCCTCATGATCACCGCTACTATCCACGGTGCTATTTCTCGCTTTACCAGCCACATTCTTTCGACAGACAGGGCAAGAATTGTGAAGCCTCAACCATGGCACAATGCAATCAGAGTGATAAATATGTTCGCAAGGCAACTCTCTGGCTTCCTCCCCAACCTCAAACTCGGTTTTGCAAATGTTACACTCTTGGCTTTCCACCAGATGTGATTTCAAGATTTTTATGGCGGGTATTGCACCGATTATAAATTCTGCTACCGGAGCCGGGCCTTCAGAAATATCATCTGCCATTGACTCAATGAGTGGTTGTATGCCAGCCGCCCCTGTGCCAGAACGATATCCTAACCCGAATATTAGTTCTCCTTTCGCAGGAGGTCTGAAATTAGCACGCCATATCATTTTCCATGCAGACAAGCCTTGGATGATGATCACTCTCCATAATTCAATGCCCACCATGAATTGACGGAAACATTGAGGGCATTTTATTTCACAAGAAGATGATGAGACTCTAACGGGTTCTTGACATGGAAAGCACCAGTAGTCGAGCCCATCATCGTATCTAGTTGCATCTTCGAGTCTCGTAACTCTACGACCTGAACATTCACCGCATTCGATTATTCCAGAAGAAGGGACTCCTGCCACATGTCTTTGGCATTCGTAGCACCAATATCGCCGATTTCCTAGTGACATTTCTAAGAAAAACCGAAGTAGGTTTGCTATGGTTCGTCTGGGTATCTCATGAAGATCCAATTGGCCTTCCGGTGGCCTTAAGTGCATCACATACGCAGGTCGCCGATACGGTGATTGAAGAGACGTGATTGTTCCTCGTTGAACGTTACAATTGTTTCTTGATTGCCACCCATTGTTTGTTGATTGCCAATTGTAAGGTTGGAGTGGTTCTTCTTGTTGGTTGTCATTGTCATTATTAGCCTCCCCAATGAGATGCATTGTAACCTCTTGAACCTCATAAAGGATTGGACTGGAACATCTTGGACAATTGTTGAGCTCAAAAGAATGTGAAACTGCATGACTACACCCTAAGCACCAATAATAATAACAATGAAGGTGCTGATTATCCATTCTTATTAATAACTAGCTAATTAGATTCACGATTGTGTGTTTCAACTAGGTAAAAAAAAAAGACAAAGAAAACTCGTGATTACTTGTCAGCATAATTAATGTACAAACTCAAGCTAGATTTCAGCAAAGCATATTCCACTATCTTTTATGAGTCCTCTTCATTTACAAGTATGCTTTGTTTTTTGTTTTGTTTTTTTGAAGCACAAGTATGCTTTGTTTGTTGAGCAAGATATACTACCTTCGTCTAAAAAAGATTTACACGTTTTAACTAAAGTTGAAATTAAGGGAGGGATAATTTTGTGTTGACTTTCCAAAAATACCTTTGATGTGATGGATAAAAGTAGGATGTGATGTGTAGATTATTATGAAAAATATATGATGTGATAGGTAGGGTTTGAAAAAGTAAGGGGTAAGAGTGATTTTTTAATAAAAATGGGTGAAGATTGTGGGACGCAACTTTTTTAAAAGGTGTAAATCTTTTTGGGACGGGGGGAGTATATTTTTTGGTCTCAAATTATTTGTCGAGTTTGATGTTTGTTACTTAATTTGAATAAATTTTGATTATTAATTAAACAAAAAGTTCATGATGTATTAATACAATAAAATAAATTCATATCTCAGAAAAGTTTGAGGGAGAGTCTATATTACCTTCAAGAAAAATCGTACATGAAGATATGTTATTCACTATTCAGAAGGTCATTTGCAATTGTTGAATTTACTGAATTTCATTTGCAGAACGTCTTTCTTTATCTTTCGTATTGTTTGGCTTTGTTGGTTATTTGGGCCTTATTTTTGTGGCCTTAATTTTTTTGTGGGTGATTATAATGATAGATTTATTTAGAAATATTTGCACTAAATAGTACTAAAACTTAAGTCATTTCCCTAAATAGCACTTAAATTGTTTTATTTCCTAAATAGCACTTAATAATGTCCATAATGTCATGTAATGACAAATATTTACTTGAATAATGAGTAATGCATAATGACTAAAAGTGCTACATTGGGGAAAAAACACATGTGGTGCTATTTAGAGAAAGTCATTTTGTTTTAGTGCTATTTAAGTAAATTTCTCATTTATTTATTCTTTTGTGTAGGTTTAAACTTTTAACACCCCGATTCAAGTGACATTGAATTTCAATATCATACGATAACCCGAGATATCTACGATGCTCCGTTCGAAATATTGATGGTTCATGCCCCTCCAAATACCCCCAAAAAACCCCCTAACCCCAGCTCGATCCAAACCGACCACCCCACCTCCCTCCAATTGTATCCCACAAAATGTAGTAACTTACTCCGTATAAAGCTAGCTTTATCCATTACTAGGTAAAACTTGCTCCGTATACAGTTAGCATTAAAACATAGGAGTAGGGTTTATGGATGAAGAATGGTCCCACTATCATAGCTTTCTTATTTTTTCTTTCTTTTGTTTATTTAAATTAAAAGTAAATCTTTTGTTAAAAGTGAAATTTGCACTAAATACTAATAAAATATATGTTATTTTTTAATATAGCATTTAATTTTTTTACTCCCTAAATAGTGCTTGAATAATGTCTAGTGATATGGACATTTAGTTTGAACAATGTCCAGTGGCGGTAGACATTTACTTGAACAATGACCAGTGGACAATGATTAGTGGTACTAAATTGAGAAATTAAAACATATGGTATTATGTTGAGAAAGTCGCTATGTTTAGTACGGAGTACTATTTAGGTAAACATCCCTTGTTAAAATTGAAATTGTAAGTTTATTGGTATAGAAATATACTCCCTCTGTCTAAAAATTATCTTTCCGTTGCGCGATATGATGTTTGACTGAAGTTATTTTCAAATCATTTTATATTAAAACATAAAAATCACATAATAAAAAACTAATCAAAAGATCTACAAAATTAGAGGTGACATGACTATATTATTAAATCAAAAGCACAATGAAAATAGGCAAACAAAGTGAATAAAATTTAACCTAGTGAATAATGAACGAGAAGATAATTTTTGGAAGGATAAAATATTTAAAAAAGATAATTTTAACTTTTGATATGGCACTAACTAAGCGCTATTAAAACTAGTTTTTTTTTATTAACCATTAAAACCACCCTAATGTAATTGGTATGTGTTCAACAATTCCTACCTCACTGATTTTGATTATTTCACACCCGGTTCATATATGGAGTATATATAAAATTGGTAATCTAAGTGAACAACAACAAGAACCAAGTTAAATCCCACAAGAGTAAGGTCTGGGGAGGGTGTGTGTACGCAGATCTTACCTCTACTCGAAAAAAGACCCCCGGCTCAACGTCGAAAGATGCATTGCTTGACTAACTGCTATTTCATTAATTAAAGAAGCGCCGACAGTTTAGAGATCCATTTTGATTTATTCCATCACACCCCAAAACCAAAAAATGGTAAAATTTTGGCTTTATGGGAGATGATGGCATGGTAATCTAAGTGAACATATGTCAATAACTTGATCAAGTAAATGTGTGCGGAAAATCTTCACACCTAGCCCAACTTGAACCCACCCCCTTTTCATCAATTGGATCTTCCAACTTTGAAGTCAATTTTTTTTACCTTAAGGTCACTAAAATTGAAGAATCCAATTGATGAGGCTGGGAGTGGAGAGTTTATCGAGAGAGTTTTTAATTAGGTTTGTGAAATTCTTGAAGAATCCAATTGGAGTGGGAGTTGGAGAGTAAGAACCACTTTAATTGAGGAATCCAACTACTAAAGTCAATTTTTTTCTCTGATAATCTATCCATCCTATCATACTTTTAACTATTACATCAAGAGCAAAATTATAGACTCAGTCACAAATATATACTCTTTATTTCTCCTAAAAGTCAAAATATGTATCTTTTCATAAACAGAGGGAGTATGATATAAAACAAATCCAATAAAATCATTTTTGTATCAATATATAATACTAATTTTATTTGATTAATAGTCAATGTTTATCAATTTTGACTGCAAAAGGTTAAAAATGATTTGGACTATGACATTCATAAAATCTAAATTTGGATCAAGGATGATTTTGCAAATAGTTGGGATCAAGCTATATTGTTGAAGTCGGTCAATTTTTCATTAGCCATTTAGTCAATACAAATAACTCCAAAATTCTTCTTTTATGGGTGAGCATCTACTATGAATTACTCTTCCAAAATAATGTTAAATTTAAATAGATTAGAAAACAGAAAACTACTTAAATAGGATTAAAACTTAATCATTTTTCTAAATAGGATCATATGTTTTTATTTTCTTAATTAGGATCTAATTAATAATTAATTAGTATTATAAATGTTCCAAAATGCCCTTTTAAGTCTAAAAATCTTAGTTTATAACTTTATCTATTACGCGCGCGGCCCAACATGCCGCCCTTTAGGGGTTTATACGAATTGAATCAAATCAAACACCAAGGTATTCAATTCCTGATCCACTTATATGCAATAGATACAAATTCAAATCTGTTATTTATTTGAATCTTAAAAATGATTCATATTCAATTCGACCCTCTATTCGTTAATATTCAAATATATTCATTTATTTGTTTTTGGAAATATATATGTTGGTATTTAATTTTTTTTCAATTTTTGTAAATATAAGTAACGGTGTACCCTTAAAATTAAATAACATTCTTGAATTCAATACCAATGCTACCAGATTATTAAAAATAACGGGGTATTGAAAATATCTCGACAATTTATTATTTAAAGGCCACTAAAAATTACACGTATAAATCCTCCATAAATCATCTAAGCATATACGAATAATTCAAATCTTGTACAAATCGGATACAATCATATTTGAATTCATATTCGAACAAATTCAGATAATAAAATAGGATTCGAATTCATATTCGTATTGGGTTAAATCAAATACAAATAATCCTTTTCCAATACGAATGTCAAACCAAAAAATAATACGGAGTATTTGATTTTTATACACCACTACTGCCCGTCACAAGTGGCAAATAATAAGTGTCGTCCATCACCACCACCCATGCATCGTTGCCTTCCACCGACGACGACAATCATCTCAAATAAGGTTCTTAGCTCGATGAACACTATGTTATCTACTCCCTCTGCCCCATTTGAATCTTCCTGGTCCGTGTTACGATGTTTGACCAATTTTATTTTCAATTCAACTTATTTGATTGTAAGTGTAAAATTAAAAAAAAAATTATATATTTAAAAACTAGATCAAAAGAGTTTCAACACAATATTATCTAATAAGGTCCATTGCTTCTCAATCACCTTCCACTGTCCATTGTCCTTGCAATCCGAATGACCTTCCGTCTTGGAAATTTGGGAGGGTTGATAATGTCGCGTAGTAGCGTTATGTAGAATGGTATACACACAAGCATGACTAAACTTGATAGACTAAATGAAACGCGAGATTTCCATCACATTGAAGTTATTTCGAGGTATACCAAAATGCTTCAATCAAATAAGATGCAAGTGTCTATAACAAGTATGGAAATACTGTCGTGACACAATTATACCCTGAGACTCCATATATATAGAGCACAAAATGATCCGAGACGTTTGCTTAAGAAACAACATAACTTTATGCAGAACATTCAAATGTTTGGCCATAGCATTCGAATGTATGTAGTAGTTATGTGTGCGAATCATCGCATCTTATTGTGAAACATTCGAATGTTAAAGAATAAACATTTAAATGTATCAGGTCTTTTAGTAAGAAATGCTAAAAA